TATATATATATATATATATATTACGTACGGCATTGGTACGTATATTTTTATTTTCGCGCTGTGTGGCTTAATTATGTGTGTATATGAAAGCCGGTAATGCAATTTTCCGGGTTAAATATTATTTAGTTACTAACTATACGAATAATATTGGAATATTTAATTAGCTTAAAAGAAGGCCGATTTCTCTTGATTTGACATATTTATATGAATATGTGTATTTATATATATGTCGGATAATAAAAGTATTTTTTTGTATTACTCTATTTTATATTATTATACGTTTTATCATCTATCTGTATTTGAGGTCTCTCACTTTACACATTATTTAAATCACTCATGCCTTCACTTATTTCGCATACTTATTTCCACTTAGGAAATACTACTAGGCCTATTGATCAACGCGGGGTCAACGCACAATATAATGGCCTGTTCTTAATAATCAGTTCTCAAATTTTCAGTTCATACCCTGGTTGATGGCGAAGTTTTAATTTTTGACACACGCACGCGCCCACGTACACAAGCAAAGGAAGTGTTGTCATGTATTATCAGGAGTGTATAATATAGAGTTATCTCTATATTATACACTCCCAGGGCCGTAGCCTCAGTGCGGGGGGGGGGTAAGGGGGCAGCTGCCTCCCCTAGATTTTGGAGCAAAATAAAAAAAATAAAGGGTTCTACTAAAAGAAAATTGTCGTAGTCAGAATGAAGGCTGTACATGTACTCAAAAGTGCCTCAAATACAATCTCCTGGATTTGCTAGACATTTTTTTTTCCACCCGCTGGCAGTGAATTCATACTAAATGCAACTTCTGAATCCACCCGGGTAATAAAGTTCATGGTTCAGTGTTTCACTAATGACAGAAAGCGATGGCTGAAGGCAATTTTTTGTTCGTAATAAAGTTCGCGATGCACGCGACACAAGCATGCCTCACGCGAATAAGAGCGCATAACCTCCGAGGGTATGTATGCTTACATGTGCACCTACCAGTTTGCTCTGTTTTTTACTAATGGGGTACTACTTGGAAGGCGATGCGCATTTTTTCAGACTTGTATAAATAAATCTGCTTGCTCGCACCCACAGCTACCTTCGTAGAAATGACTGACATCATTCATTCATTCTTTATCAGTATTAATCTAATATAGATAATGAATTAGATATATTATAGACTGGCCCTACAAAACTTCCACTATCCACTCGATATCTATTGCGAGTCCACAGGCAGTTGTATAGTTATTGCTCCTGTATTCCGCATGCTCTCTCTCCATGAACCTATAACCAGAAATATAATACTCCTAGTATAATGGACAAACTTTATGATACTATGCGTGCACTGCACTCAGGCAGGCGGCAAGTAATTCCCTCCACTTCACGCATGGTTTCACGTAGCGCGATGACCGCAATTTCCTGTCTGACTGCCGGGATTGCCTTGAATGAGCAAACTGATTAATGAAAACTAAGAATGGATCAGGAGCGTATCACGAAGTGGTTGTAATAACGTGTGGGGAATTTTTGCCACATATGCATCACTCGGTCAACGCACGTGTCATAGCCAATTTGGGGGGGGGGGGAGCATTCTACGTGGATGAATGGTCAACGCCTTGCAGACATGAGCCAGTACTCAGAGTTACCTACCTAACAACTCGAACACGGGAGCTAGCATTACCTTCGATTAGACTTACGTCACAGAGAACACCCTGTGAAATAGCAGGGTGGGACAAGGGAAGAAGAGATTGAAATATCTTTGAGCAGCCACACATCCCAGGAAACTGTCAAATAGCGGGAACAAGCGAAGAAGAGTTAGAATTATCTTCCACTACCCCTTTACACCCCCTTATATTACCTCTGAGCGACCGCTGATGCTCACAGCTCTACCCTTCAAATATTATTATCCCTTTACACCCCCTCGAATACCACTACCCCATTATACTCCCCCTTAGAATTACCTTCGAGCGGCCGATAATGCGCGTGCCGTTCTACCCTTCAAATACCACTACCTCTTTACACCCCCCCCATTACTTTTAAGCTGCGTTGACGCTCACAGCTCTACCTCTCGAATACCACTACCTCTTTACAAAAAATGAAAATGAATTTGAAATGAAAATAAATTTAGAATGAAAATGAATTAAAAATAAATAATAAAAATATCCGTAGCCATCTCGGCCACTATACTAGAGAGAGGTGTGCGCGCATATATTCTCACTGTGTTGGAAAATACTGACGGACGGACGGACAGAGGCATATGTTATGCTAATATATTTCTGGACTCTTGCTCACGATCGAGTGTGTCGTGAGCGATAATAAATTATTGTGCGGGGAAAACTCACTCATGGATTTGTGAAATCATTGGTGTTATCTTCGTTAATACGCCTCACCAGACACATGGGAACTAGCTGACATTCCTTCAAGCGGAAACGCAAACACGAAACGAGACAAAGGGTTAAGAACAATAACACAACACAAGGTTTAGAACATTACCACCTACACGATCACGTGCCTACACACAGTCGGACACTGTCCCGACGTAACTAATTAACATGAACTGAAACGTAACCGAACAAGGTTTCAATGATTCTTGGAAAAATGTAGGTAAACGCTTCGCAGTAATGGTTTATATCCTCCGCATGTAGTGTAGCGGTTCGTATTGTTTTTGCGCCGTTTGTGTGTTTGTGTGTTTGTATGTGTGTGTGTGTGTGTGTGTGTGTGAGGCTAAGGGATAGGCAGTAGTTCTGTCACGTAACGCTTGGGCAGTGGATTCCGCCAGGCGCCACGCATCCGCACGGGCTGCTCTACTTTAGCTAGCTTGTGGATCAGTGCCTCAGCTCAACCCGCAACCTGCACAGCTCACACGTGAGCAGGGGACATATCGTTATCGAATCTATTCTATGCTCGCTATCGTGAGTTTAATGCTATCTATCTATCTAATAATACTCTATATACTTCTAGCTCTATCTATATTTTATCGGCATTATCAAAAATGTGAACCTGGTGCTCATTAACCTTGGTGTGAAAGCACGTTTCAAATCAGTAGGGTTGCCACCGCCGTTCTTAAGGTTTGCACCTTTGGACCAAGGGTTTTGAAATTTCTACCTCTAGAGCGGTTTTGCAAAAATATCGAGCCGCACTCAGACGCAGACCACAGCACACACAAAACAGCCACGCACATCTGCACACGCACCACGCATTCACGTCGCACAGGCCCCTGGTCGCGCACGACTACACACGACAA